AGAGAGAGAGAGAGAGAGAGAGAGAGAGAGAGAGAGAGAGAGAGACTTAGCCAAGGCCACAGAACCAGCGGGAGTTGGGACTTTGTTTCCCATTCAAGGGTGACTGCGCTTTCTGGGGGACAGTATTTTGAGCGTTTCATAAAATGTAAGTTTTCGTTTCCCACCCCTATGGGAGGAGGGTGCTGTGAGTGGGAATGTACGAGTCCCTCAGCTGGTTTGTGCGGAGTAAACTTGGAGAACTGTTCTTAAAGAGCAACCCTTGCAAGTGTCTGAGCGTGCTACTTAAGAAAATCCGTGTGATGTTGGTTGGCTTGTGGGGAAAATTGTAGGTGGGGAGGTACGGAGTTAAAGAGATCGGTTAGTATGGGCTGTAATAATGTAGGCATAACAATGGGAACTTTAATTAGGGCGTCCGCAGTGAGATCAGAAAGGAAGGGAGATTGGAAACATTTAACCTGGAAAATCAGGGCCTCGAAAACAGATATGGGACCAGGAGAGAGAGAAACACAAAGAGTTAATCCCCGGTGTTAAGGCCAGAGCAGTGCTTTTCAATTGTATTTTAACTTTGGAAGATGATTTGTTATTAAGTGGTATCGCCATATAACTAGGGATAAAGATGTCCACGTTTATTGAAGGAAATGTATTTTGGCAAGAGCATTAACGTGATACGGGAAAAACAAGAAAAAATACCGAAAGGAGGAAGAAGGATGGGGGATATATGTGAATGGGTGAAACATTCAGGGAGGGGTTGAGTAGCAGAGTTGATGGAAATTTCTGAATAAATTCAGAAGAATACTTACCTTACTTGTATAGTTAATTTGAATCTCTTTATCCTACATTTAGTGTTTATGTTTTTTTAAGTTTTACAAATCATTGGGACTTCAAGGTGAAGCAATTCCTGAGATTGGTGGTTCCCCGGGGTTCGTGGATATTTCAAAAACACATCAGCTCTTGAATTATTTTCCTTTGGCTTACTTTAGTTACAATTAAAATAATGTATTTTTCTGTGTGTGTTTTTTAAAAAATAAAGATTTATTTATATTTAACTATGGGTGTTTGAATAGGAAAAAACATATAAGGCATATAGTGTATAAAGCATAACCTACAAATGAAAATATAAAATATGCTCGTTAATGATATGAGAAGATGGCCAAAATGTTTTTCTTCCCTCTCTCTCTCTCTCTCTCTGAAATGAATTTTGACTTTGCAACATTTATCATTTTTGACAAATTTTGACATTTTTCAACATTTATCATCCTTTAGCTGGATACGTCTCGGACATACTCTCTGGATGAATTTTGTGAGGAACAGTTACAGCAAGCTTCCCGCACATTCAAACGACTTGAGGATATCAGGGATAAAGCCATTGCAGAAATGAAAAGTACACTTTTAAAGGTAACTCATGATATCCTTGCAATGTATCAGTTTGTATGTTACTGACTAAAGCAATTGCTTCAAATCGCATCCCCGGAGAAAGTGTTGGAAATGGGCAGGTAGAGGGACCAAGGACTAGTTAATTAGCCAGCTAACTAGTACTGTGCACTCCCTAGCTGCACATACAGGAAAATTTCCAGGCGTTGTATAGAAGGCAAATATATGTGCGACTAAATATATATGTGTGTTTATTGAATTGTAGGTAGCAGAAAAGGAAGAAATTAGAGAATTTTTTGAGTCAAGCTTCTCTAAAGCTGCCAGATCGCATTTCAAGCTGCCTGTATATCGACGTTTATTAAAAAAATTTTTGAGGTTTTTCATGCTGGTTGACTACATATTTCAGGAGCTCATCCGCCAGCTGATGAACACTGCAGTTACCCTGCTTTTGGAATTATTTCATAGTTCTGCTAGAATGCCATTTACAGCAGAAAAAAGGAATGAAAACCTAATCAAGTAAGTCATATTTTCTTTTTACTGATAAAAGGAATTTGTAATCATAGCGTTGCAAACATTGATAGAGGAAATAGCCAATAGTTGAAGTGAGAATTTGAAAGTTCTTCTTATAGCAAATTGTATGTGCTCAATTTTTACAATTATCTGGAAATACTTTGCTTAATACTGTCCATAACATTTAAAAAAAGTTTCCCAATATTTCTTCAAAATTCTGCATATGTCTGATGGCCATATAAAATATGGGCTGGCCAGTACAATTTGAAATTCAGATATGTAATAATTCTTTAGTATGTCTCAGATATTACCTATCCTAAAAATTACTGTTTGTTTGAAATTCCAGTTCAACTGGGTGTTTTGTACTTTGATTTGCTAAATCTGGAAATTCTGTGTATAGGGCTAATTCGAAGTTCAGGGCCAGTTCTTAAAGATTATCAGGGTGATTCGAGAAGGAACCCATAAGCTTCCATTGGAATTTGAGTCAATTCTGCTTAAATGAGACATGAGAATTTTTCATGGTAGTAAAATATAAGTAACAAAATTTACCATTTTTAAATATGTAATTCAGCGGCATTAAGTACATTCAGTCTTGTGCAACCATCAAGGTATTCATTTCCAGAACTTTTTCATTATCCCATTCTTAAATTTTATGAGACTCTGCACCCATTAAATAGTCACTCCTTGTTCTATGAGTACGCCCCCCCACCACGCCCTTAACCTCTATTGTCCTTTCTGTGACTAGGAACTTACTATTCTGAGTACCTCAGATAAGTGGAATCATACAGTATTTATCTTTTGTGTTTGCTCTATTTCATCTAGCACCATGTGTTTAAGGCTCATCCATGATGTAGCATGTAACAGAATTTCCTTTTTAAGGCTGTATAATATTCCATTGTGTAGATATACCATGTTTTGTTGGTTTGTTCGTTCATCTGTTGATGGTAGTTGGGTTAGCCTCTTGGCTATTGAGTCACGCCAGCTGGGCGAAGCTGCAACATTTTAATTTCCACCAGCAAAGCACCGGGCTTCTGCCTCACCAACACTACTATTTTCCTTTTTAAATAGTAATACCCAGCCTAATTGGTATGAAGGGATATCTTGTTATGGTTTCGATTTGTAATTCCCTAACAATTAGTGATGCTAAGCATATTTTTGCATGCTTATTGGCCATATTTCTTTGGGGGAATGTCTAGTTATTTATGTTTTTGTGGATATTCACAAGATAACAAGAATTTAAAAGACTGCATTTTTGCTTTCCATTTTTTAATCTAGAACACACAAGGATATCTTTGCTCTTACTGGAAAGATAACAAATGATTATGAAGAACTTGTCATTAATTCAAACTTATATGCTACTTCTGTTCCAAAGTTGGACTTAAAAGCAGAAGCTGATATTAATGAGGTAAATGGTCTTTGAAAAATATAAACATAGATTTTTAATGAATGAATAAATGAAAAGTAAGTGAAATAAGTTTGGAAATTAAAATGTGATTTATGATTAATGCTCAATTTCTTACCCAAAACACACACACAAATGCACACACACACACACACACACACACGCATGCACCTCTGCTTCCACTATAGAAAGCTATATTCACACTTACCTTCATGCATGATTGTGTTCTTACTATGTACCAGGCACTGAATTAGGCACTGAAGTAGACCAGTGGGCAGTGCTAATGAACATACCAGGCAGAGGTCATTTTCCAGAGCAAGCGATGCAACACTTTATATATTCGTTTGGAATTGCCGGTGTGGACTTTTATTTATTGTGGTCAAACAGCAGAAAATGGGCCACTTGAACCACTTGTCAGAGGACAATTCAGTGGCGTCGGTGCGTTCCCAGTACGTTGCGACCATCACATCCCACTTCCAGGACTGTCTCATCCTCCCACACAGGAACTCTGTCCCCGTGTCTGTAGGACTTTTAAGGCTCACAAGTCGCTGTCCGCATCCACCTAAGCTCTTTCCCAGCAGCTTCACCGGGTGCCAGTGGCGTTTCTTTCTTTTTTTTAAATATATTTTATTGATTTTTTTATAGAGAGGAAGGGAGAGGGATAGAGAGTTAGAAACATCGACGAGAGAGAAACATCGATCAGCTGCCTCCCGCACGCCCCCTACTGGGGATGTGCCCGCAACCAAGGTACATGCCCTTGACCGGAATCGAACCTGGGACCCTTCAGTCCGCAGGCCGACGCTCTATCCACTGAGCCAAACCGGTCAGGACCAGTGGCGTTTCTTTACACGTTAGCTGCCTCCGTTTGTTCATAACCGGAGCTAAAGGTTGGGTGACTCCGGTGGCTACATCGTGACACACCCCTCCAGCACAACTGATCCCTTCATGGACATGAGGGATCAATAAATCGAGAACTCAGGCCTAGACAGAGCCGAAGAGCAGTCGCATAGTGTGAATACAATATCGATACCTCAGACCTCCTGGTTCTCGGTGGGGATGCCTGTACTAACATGTGTGTGTCAAAGTGAGGAGCTATGACCTGGAGCAATGAATGTGAAATACATTCCTGATGTGTATGTCCTGAGCCTGAGTGCCCAGTAGCATCACCTGTTCAGCTTTTTTTTCCTTTTTTAAAAAATATATATTTTATTGATTTTTTTTTACAGAGAGGAAGGGAGATGGATAGAGAGTTAGAAACATTGATGAGAGAGAAACATCGATCAGCTGCCTTCTGCACACCTCCCACTGGAAATGTGCCTGCAACCAAGGTACATGCCCTTGACCGGAATCGAACCTGGGACCTTTCAGTCCGCAGGCCGACGCTCTATCCACTGAGCCAAACCGCTCAGGGCAGCTTTTAAGTGATTCACATTCCTGGCCTTGACCCCTCACCCTTTAACTCAAAATCTCTCGGGATGGGGCCTAAGAATTTGTATTTATTAAGCTCTAAAATGATTACTATTTGGCCACTCTGGTATCCGTTGATACAGTTTTGGGGAAAATACTACAGTATTTCATTTATTTTTCCATTCACTTACTTTTTTTTTTAACATGCAAATAGCAGTTATCTGGCAATACAGTGTTACTCGGTTAACCTGAAGTTATTGATCATGTAAAATGTAGGACTGTATTATCTAAATGTCCTGTTACCTCTATATTATCACCAGAACTGTAACCTATCTGTCACATTAGATTTTCAATTCCATTAAATTGGATAAGGACTTGACAAAATATGCACCGGTATTTGAAGTCAATCTACACTTGAGAATTCCTTCTGAGAGTGATTCTTCGAGCAGCTCCAGGGAGAGCTACCAGGAATCCGAGCAGTTCTCTGAGAAATCCGTGCTGTCCCAGGAGGAGGAGGTAGCGGAAAGTGAAGTCAGCAGCGTCAAACCCTCAAGCGAGGAGCTCCTAATAATGCAGCCAAAACCCAAGACTTTGAACCTTGTAGAAATCCTTTCAGGTGAGAGGAATGAGACGGGTAAGCCCAAAGGGAAATAGCCTGACACCTGGGACATCACAAGGGAGAGAAAAAGACATCGTTACGGATTATCGCGGGGTAAACTGTGACGTTGAGCCACGTCGAAGGAAGGAGGCTCTGAGGAAGTCTAAACGGAACAGGCCACTTGTGGTGGATGCGAGCAGGACCGCCATGACCCATTTTTTAATCTTAATACCACTGGTCGCTGAGGGGGGACCCGAGGAGCCCCCTTCACGAGGACGGGCAGCACCTGGGGTGCTCCTTAACATGCAGACTCCATCTGAGACCCCCTTAATCAGATTTGGGGGTGAGTGGGGGGGCGTGCTGGCTGGACACTGCCTTTCCAGGTGATTCTTAGGGTGTTTGGGAAGCACAGAGCAGCTTGTCCTTTAGCCGATATAAATATCAATCAGTTTTTTTCTTCTCTTTCTTTCAATGGATTCTGATAGATATAGAAGCCATGGATGATTTCGATAGTAAAACCGAGAATGATGAGTAAGTCGCACACACTTCTGAAGTTACAAGTAATGAGACCTGACGTTCGTCCCGGCATCGTGTTGAAATTCGCTCTCATCGTTTTCTCTCGTAGATTTTTAGAATTCCCTACGAATCTCTCAATTGCTCCCAACAGACGGGACTTTTCGATAAAAATTCAGAATATGCTGGCCGATCTTGAGAAATGCATAAGTAAGTATTTTAAGTGTTTCATTAGATACCTTGTATCCTTCAGCAATATTTTCTGAAATTTAGGGATTGGAAGCTTTTACCCAGGTATGTGGCAGACATGACGGTGTATTAGAGATCATGGGTTCACACTCTTTGGGATCAATCGATGTGAATTTGAAATTATTTGAGCATGTGGGAATTATACACACAACCATAGAAGCAGGAAAATAGTGGGGGCTTGGATTTGTTTTTTTTCAATAACGTACTACAGAATTTTATGAGACTTAAATAAGTAATATCGTCTATATCAGCAAAACAAAGGTATTGTTTCCACCTTAAATAGATTTTTTGTTGTTGTTAATCCTCACCTGAGGATAGTCTCCATTGCTTTCAGAGAGAGTGGAAAGGAGGGGGCGGAGAGAGAGGGGAGAGAGAGAGAGAGAGAGAGAGAGAGAGAGAGGTGAAAGAGACACATTGATCGGTTGCCTTTTGCATGCGCCGCGACCAGGGCCTGGGATCAAACCTGCAACCCAGATATCTGCCCTCGCCCCGGGAATCGAACCTGAGACCCTTCAGTGTGCGGGCCGACGCTCTATCCACTGAGCAACACTGGCCAGGGCTTGATTAATGCTGTTCCAGCTGGGTGCACACAATCTGACATGAGATGGCAGTCACCAGCCTGACCCAGGAATTGATCCCTTCTCCACGGTCTCAGTCGATCCTGCAACACCAGGACCCGCTGCGGCTCCTTGAATGCAGCATCGTTCTCCAACCACATCACCATAGTTTGCTGAGTTCAGAGGCCCCTCTTTCTAAACTGGTATCCAGTGCACTGTTTGTTTTTAAAAAATATATTTTTATTTATTTCAGAGAAGAAGGGAGAGGGAGAGAAACATCAGTGATAAGAGAGAATCATTGATCGGCTGCTTCCTGCACGCCCCCTACTGGGGGTTGAGCCCGCAACTTTGGCATGTGCCCTGACCGGGAATTTAACCTTGACCTCCTGGTTCATAGGTCAACACTCAACCACTGAACCGCACTGGCCGGGCTCCAATGCATTGCTTGATTTCCTTTTGTAAGCTCAGGAATCCAGTGTCTCATTGTCCTTACTGTTGAGTGGTGAGAGGTCTTTATATGTACGCTCGATACAAGTTCTTGATTAGTTATAAGATTTGCAAAATGTGCCTTACCCTTTCACTTCTTTCTCACAGAGCTAAACTTCTTAATTTTGATCAAGTACAGCTTATCAATTTTTTTGTCTTCATAGATTATACTTTCGATTTTATGTCTAAAAACTCTCTGTCTAACTCAAGGTCACACCGATCTTTCCTACATTTTCTCCTAGAAGGTTTATAGATGGATGTTTTATTCTTAGGGATACGATTCATCTTGAGTTGATACTTTCTAATGTATAAAGTGTAGGTGCAAGTTATTTTTTTGCCTGTGGACATCCAGGCGTGCAGCTAGATTATGAACTCATTGATAGTAGAGGCCATGTCTTCTAATCTTTGTATCCACACATTGGTATAATGGTCTTCCCATAGCATATCCACGTCACATCATTGTTAACTTAATGCGGTGGTTCTCAACCTTCCTAATGCCGCGACCCTTCAATACAGTTCCTCATGTTGTGGTGACCCCCCAACCATAAACTTACTTTCGTTGCTACTTCATAACTGTCATTTTGCTACTGTTATGAATCGTCATGTAAATATCTGATATGCAGGATGTATTTTCATTGTTACAAATTGAACATCATTAAAGCATAGTGATGAATCACAAAAACAATATGTAATTATATATGTGTTTTCCGATGGTCTTAGGCGACCCCTGTGAAAGGGTCGTTCGACTTAATGGCTTATTCTCAGTTTCTGTTTTAATCATGCCTCGTCTCGCTGCCACCAATTACCTGTGAGTGGTTCTTTCGTTTCCCTAATATTAAACCCCAACGTTTACACCTGCCTTTATGTCCCATTTGTACTGGCTCGTCCCCATGATAAACCCGTTTCAGTTATCAGCAGTTCTAGATGTCATGGGTAATTATACGGTGTCGGGACTTTGGAAAATATTAATTTTTTTACTCATATATTTTAGCCCAAATTATTCCTCTTAACCAAGATCCCCGCCTGTCTGATTTTACTGATCCGGAGTTACTGAATGCAGCACAAAGTGGGGCAGACCCTAAGGAGCAAGCCATATGGCCCGATTGTCAGATCCTGTTCGAAATGGACCCTACCTACCAAAATAAAGTAAGTTTAAAAACAGTGCGTCTAGCCGAAACCGGTTTGGCTCAGTGGATAGGGCATCGGCCTGCGGACTGAAAGGTCCCAGGTTCGATTCCGGTCAAGGGCATGTACCTGGGTTGCGGGCACATCCCCCCCAGTAGGGGATGTGCAGGAGGCAGCTGATCGATGTTTCTCTCTCATCGATGTTTCTAGCTCTCTATCTCTCTCCCTTCCTCTCTGTAAAAAATCAATAAAATATATTAAAAAAAAAACCAGTGTGTCTTGGGGAATATTTGGTTGAATGACCAGAAACCCACTGACGTTCTTAGATGAAAGGGACTTGTTATAAATTATACGATCATATTTTTTCATTGATTGGAAAATCCTTCCCATTTTTTTCTTCCTCATGATATTTCACCTCTGTTCACTTTTTATTCCCCAGCAAACTGCTGAGAATGGGCTTTCTCTTTCATGGTCCCCTCTGAATATTGTCTTGCTGTTTTGTTGACTTGCCATGACCCTGGCTTTTCCCACTACCATCTAACTGGGTATTTTTTTAATATATATTTTATTGATTTTTTACAGAGAGGAAGGGAGAGGGATAGAGAGCTAGAAACATCGATGAGAGAGAAGCATCGACCAGCTGCCTCCTGCACACCCCACACTGGGGATGTGCTTGCAACCAAGGTACATGCCCCCGACCGGAATCGAACCCGGGACCCTTCATTCCCCAGGCCGACGCTCCATACAGTGAGCCAAACCGGCCAGGGCAAACTGGGTATTTTTTGTTCAAATTCATGAGAGAATGTAATGGTTTTAGCTTGGATCAGGATTCTACCCTATCCAGAGTAGCCGTGTTTTGGGAATTGGGTAATGTCACATAGTATATAGAACTGGCCTTTTCTTTTTTTTTTTTAATTCTCACCCAAAGATAGTTCCCCCCATTTCCCATTAATTTTTAGAAAGAGTAAAATGGAGGGAGGGCAAGGGAGAGAGAGAGAGAGAGAGAGAAACATCGATGTGAGAGACACATCAATTGGTTGCCTTCCTCTTGTGCCCCATCCGGGGCCAGGGATCAAACCTGCAACCAAGGTGCATGCCCTTGACCGGGAATCGAAACTGCAACCCTTTAGTCCGTGGGCTGACGCTCTGACCACTGAGCAAACCGACCAGGGCTAGGACTGGCCTTTCCTAGGGCATAGAGCACATACACTAAACCCCGGTGACCAGCAAAGAAATAACCGGTTGGTGTCTCTAGTACATGCTAACTATATAGTTCAATCGCCTGTGTACCTTTACATAAATGACAAATATAAAAAAGTGATGTGAGCCCTAACTGGTGTGGCTCAGTGGATAGAACGTCGGCCTGTGGACTGAAGGGTCCCAAGTTCGATTCCGGTCAAGGGCATGTACCTTGGTTGCGGGCATATCCCCAATAGGGGGCGTGCAGGAGGCAGCTGATCGATGTTTCTCTCTCATCGATGTTTCTAACTCTCTATCCTCTCCCTTCCGCTTTGTAAAAAAAAAAAATCAATAAAATATATTTTTTAAAAAGTGATGTGAGCCGAAACCGGTGTGGCTCAGTGGATAGAGCGTCGGCCTGCGGACTGAAGGGTCCCAGGTTCGATTCCGGTCAAGGGCATGTACCTGGGTTGCGGGCACATCCCCAGTAGGGGGCGTGCAGGAGGCAGCTGATCGATGTTTCTCTCTCATCGATGTTTCTAACTCTCTATCCCTCTCCCTTCCTCTCTGTAAAAAAAAAAAATCAATAAAATATATATTTTAAAAAGTGATGTGAATGTCTTAGTCTTATGTTTCCAACGTATTTATTTAGTAGAGGCTTCTAATGACATGAACTGGACAGATAACTGCTGTTTTGCATGTTTTTAACAGAATTACGAGTATGTCGGGCCATGCTCTTTTCACTCCCCAAAGAACATGCTGTCACGTTTTCATTTACAGATCGTGTGTCTCCTGACCATCCTTGGCAACTCGATGAACCTGGTGAACGGTTACAGCCGCAGGTTCATAAAATACTGCGTGATGGTGGAGCGGGCCAAAGTCGCGAGTATGAAAATCGCCACGATGGAAGAGCTGACGTCCGCCGAGTTTAGAACCATCCTCGGCAAGTTCCTCAACTACCTCAGAGACGTGGTGAGCATGGTCACGGAGAAGCGCCTCGGCATCTTCCACGTGGTCAGCGCCGACTACCAGTCGGAATGCCTGCCGCACGTGGAGGACATCCTGCAGACCAGCCAGGACCTCCTGCGGTCCGTCATCGAGAAGAAGAACACGAATCTACTGGAGGTAAGTGCTTGGGGAACGCCTACTGCTGGAGACCCTTCAAGATGAGTCGATTATAATTTCAGAATAGGTCCTTAGCACGCACATACGATGACTGTTAACCCTCAGAAAAACGCCAACATGCGTTTTATTGGTCCGGGTCTTGGATCCGGTGTCAGTTCCCCGGAGAAAACTTCCCTGGAATGGTAGCCCGTCTCTGTTGGGAGCCGGGCATGGGGTGAGGCGGGGCGAGGAAGGGGCTGTTTGAATTTGTGTGAGGACCACTCTGGCTGCAGAGTGGAGAGTAGATGCCAGTGGGACAATTCAGGGGGAAAGTTGTTTCTGTCATCGAGGGGAGACGTGATGATACCTTGAGCCAGGGAAGTCGCAGGGTGCAGGCTGAGAAGTGTATGGATTTGAGATTTATCTAAGAGATGGAATCAATAGGATATAGCAGGGGTCCTCAAACTTTTTAAACAGGGGGCCAGTTCACTGTCCCTCAGATCGTTGGAGGGCCGGACTATAGTTTAAAAAAAAAACTATGAACAAATTCCTATGCACACTGCACATATCTTATTTTGAACTAAAAAAACAAAATGGGAACAAATACAATATTTGTATTTGCATGTGGCCTGCGGGCCGTAGTTTGAGGACCCCTGGGATATAGTGAATGACACCATGGAAAGAATGAAAGAGCAGGACTGATGCTTTTGGGTTTTGGGGGGAGTCCACAGTGTGGGCAGTGATCTTACTCACTGGGCGAGGGAACACCGTGCGTGTTCGATTGTGTGACATTCAAGTAGAGAGACTCAGATACGCCTGTCTGGGTCTCAGGACAGAGTCTAGACTGGAAATATATATTTAAATGAGCAGGATGCATATTGTCATTGAAATCATCGAAGTGAATGAGAATGCCCTTGTCTATATGTATGGTGACAATGGAAAAGAACAGCCCCAGCCAGTGTGGCTCAGTGGTTGGTCACGGACCTATGAACCAGGTGGTCATGGTTCAATTCCCGGTCAGGGCACATGCCCGGGTTGCGTGCAAGAAGCAGCCAATTAATGACTCTCTCTCATCATTGATGTCTCTCTCTCTTTTCCTCTCCCTTCTTCTCTGAACTCAATAAAAGTATATTTTTCTAAAAAAAAAAATAGAAAAGAACAGAAGCCTGACGAATATCAACATTTGGGAGATGGCTAGAGGAAGAGGAGCCTACAGAGTATACCAAAGGGGTAACCAAAGAGATCAAAGAGAGCAAGGGAGTATTTTGAGAAGGAGGGAACATTTAGGAATTGTTAATGCTGCAGAGAGTTGAAGAAAAGATTACAAAGGGTCTATTCGGTGAACAGTACTGTGTGCTGTCCGTAATGAAATACACCTTATCTTTAGATCCACGGGAACCCTGTAACATAAAAAATCACTCTGTTTAATTTAGGTCCCATTTCCCAACAAGTACGAGGACACCCCAAAAACACTGTGTCTGAAACCAGGGGTTTATTTGTCTCGTGCAGAAGCATACACGCTGGTCAGCCAGGGCTGGTACCGTAGCTGTGATGCAGGCAGAGGACCAGGCTCCTCCATCCTTTCTGCTCCGTGCCCCTTGATAATGGCTGCCGCCCCCGAGGCACTTGGCTCGCACTCGGCACAGCCGGGGCCGGGGGAGGCCGGCGGAGCCGCGTGGTACGTTATCATCTTTGGGCCGGTCACGTGCTAGTCCAGTTCTCTGTCAAGTGCGAGAGAGGCACCTAATGTGACCTATTCATAAAAGAAGAGCTCTAAGCCCCGTTCGCCCATCATAAAGTGGTGGAGAAGGAACAGGGCAGGGGCAATAAAAAGTCCCACCCTTTTAAGGAGAAAATGGGGAAACGGACATCTAGCAGGGGTCCTCAAAACTTTTTAAACAGGGGGCCAGTTCACTGTCCCTCAGACCGCTGGAGGGCCGGACTATAGTTTAAAAAAAAACTATGAACAAATTCCTATGCACACCGCACATATCTTATTTTGAAGTAAAAAAACAAAACGGGAACAAATACAATATTTGTATTTGCATGTGGCCCGCGGGCCGTAGTTTGAGGACCCCTGATGTAGAGTGTTCTCGAGCAGGTGGCGGAGTTCGCTGGGCAGAAAAATGAGCATCGCCCTGGGCTGTCCAGTAAGCTGTTTGGTTGGTCGGTCTCGGCGGCCTCTGGCTCAGGTCTCTGGGGCCGCGTCCCTCGCCCTCTGTCGCCTGTGACCCCTGGCGATGCCCTGAAGGACGATCCCCTGGGTTACTGTTCTGGACCTCGGCCGGGCCTGGTATCGGAGGGTTGTGTTTCTTGGGCCCCGGGCAGGTGCAGCAGTGCATTATCTGCAGGGACGAGCTTGGAGGGCTGGGGATGCCTTAGGAAATGGCCCTGGTGATTGGGCTTCAGCTGCTGCTTAAAAAGAGACGTTCGATTCGCTTCTGGTTTCACCAGCGCTGAAGTCTGGACACGATCTTTAAGCCTGAGCGCTTTGCCGTTGAGCTGCCGGCCCTGCGCGCTATACCTCCCAGCCAGCCTTAAACGTGTAACCACTCGTTTGCTGCTCAGACTTGGGAGGGAAGGTGACTTCCTTAATAGCCTTTGCCAGTGAGCTGTCTGAGAAAACCCTCCAGGGAAGGCTCTTTATGAAAATCCAGGGCCCTCGTCTTGTCGCCTGCTCAGGCTCCCTCTTTCGAGCACAGAAACAGTTGCTGTCTCGCCCTCACCGGCCTTTGAAGCCAGCTCCCTGCCAAAGGCAGAGAAGAATTTGCTCATCCGGCTTCATCCCCTCAGTCTGGGCCCAGCCGGAGTTCATCTCTCGTAGGATTTCGCTCGGAGCACAAAGAGGGAACCAGGATACGATGCAAAAGTTGTCCTACTATTTACCCTGATGCTACAGCCAGGGTTGGCATGTTTTTCTAAGTCCCAGGACCGTTGTGGCCAAATGCTTTGCTCCTGCATAACAAACACATCTACTTGTCCAGCCTCCCAAACCTGTGCACTGACTGCCCCAATGAGGTGAGGTATGTAGGACGGTGTCGTTCCCTAATTCTCCCCTCCTTCGAAAATGAGATGTTGGGACAATTGAACTCCCCACTCCTACCCTCCACCAACGTTTAGTCTTCATGGAGGTGGCTTAGTACTTTTAGTTCTAGATCATTATTAAAATACCAATATGTCTCTTCTATCAAAAACGTTTTTATGTGACACTTAAGGTCACCTTCATCGAGTTTTAAAGATTTGAATTCCGCAGAAATGAATCAGAGTATAATGTTTTCGAACTCTGATGATGGTGTGAGCCTGCTCTAGCTCGAAACCTCTGCTCTAGCCATGATGGAGAAACAGGACTAGACTTCATTTCACTTCCCGCTCTACAGAGAACAGAAGACTGAAGCAAACAAATGAGAGAAATGCTTTCAGGTACTGCATCGCCAGCAGTGTAGGACTGTGGACCTGGAGACCAGGGAAGCAAATGACATACGGGATTTCTACCTGGAGGAAAGCTTTGGACCACAAGTACAGGGAGGAGGAACCGGAAGAGAGCCCAGGGGCCTCACTGAGCTGAGATGGATAAAAATTTTCATTTTTAGAGTCAAAGAAGGGAGCTAGGAAAAGCAAAACAAAACAATAAAAACCACCAACACCGCCCAAACACACACACACACACACACACACACACACACAAATAAAACAGCAGAAAAGTGCACGAGGGTCCCAGGTCCCAGGACTCTCCCAGCTGCAGCTACCAAGCATGTCTGTGCAGGGACCTGGAGCCAAATCCACACAGAGGGGCTAAAACCCCCAGAGCTGTAAGCAGAACAGTGGCCAGAGCTCCTGCGAGTCAAGTCCCAGGAAGTCAGAGTGGAGGGTCCTAGTGGGTATAGAGGGCATTCAGTGGAGAGCCTAGAGCAGGGGAGGGCAACCCCTGGCACGCGTGCCAAACATGGCACGCCAGTAACTTTAGCTGGCACGCAAAACCCTCTCTTACAATCTTCCATTTACAATTTTTTTTCTTAATATCGACTTTTTTTTAATTTTTCAGATAAATTCAGTGTAGGTGCATCTTAGATAAGTAAATAATTTTACATAACAAGTTATCTTAAAGACCATAGACATGGATTGACGAGAGAGGGGAAGAGCAATTTCAATAGTGTCGAAAACGAACTATTGAGGACTTGGAATGCCATTCCGGAAAATTTTTTCTGTTTAAAAAACTTTGCAACAGCGTTACTCTCCTTATTTTCATCCACACACGCTTGTGAATCTTTGTTCTCAGTGATGAATTTTGTTAAGTCTCGTCACAGGAGTAGCCTGACGGATGAAAGTAGTAGCTCGTGCATATCTCTGAAGGTCACGAAATATAAACCTGATGTAAAATCTCTGTCATCAGTGATGCAGCAGCAAAAGTCCCACTGATAGTATCAAACGGAGTCATAAAGTTATCTGTCGGACCATCAGTGGACATGTATACATTAAAACATAAATATTTTTCATCATCATATACCGTGTTTTTGTCGCTCGAATGAATTTTATTATTTCTTCAAGGTTCTTCACATACGTACACCTGAAGAGATATCAAGTAGGCGTAACATGTTCTCAAAAAATTAGGGTTGGCACGCAGAAGAATTCTGAGTCAGAGATTTTGCTGGTTTGGGCACGCACTCACAAAAAGGTTGCCCACCCCTGGCCTAGAGGGGTTCGCCTCAGCAGTGGAGCTGGCCGCTAAAGAGGTCGGCATTCTGAATGCAAAGATGAATACGAGGCCTCCAAGGGAGCAAACTGCAAGAGATGTGCAAACAACCCCCTCACCAAATGAAGGACCGAACCCTTTAAATAACTGCCACAAGAATCAGACCTCTGTGACCTGCAGCATCAGCAATGCCTCGCTTTTAATCAGAAATTACTGAACACAGGATGGGCTCAAAGCAGCTTGGGGAACCTGTTCTGAGAGTTCTGCTGGTTCATTCTCTTTCTGGCTGCTGCATACCCCCAAAGGCATTTCTGTTTCCTGAGGCTTTGGGTAGTATTCCTTTACATAATTCAGGAAATTCCCTTATTTTGAAAGGAATTCCTAATATCGTAGAATTTTTTATATCATAAGCGAATCTTATCAAATACTTATTCCGCAGCTACTGCGATGATCATAGTTGTTTTTCTTTCATCTTTTAACGTGGGTAATTGCCTTAATTGACTTTCTAAGGTTAATCTCGCGTCCAAATTGATAGGTGTAGATTGGCAGCATGCACAAGCACATACCTGTACATTATTACTTTTTAAAATATGTTTTTACTGATTTCAGAGAGGAAGGGGGGAGGCAGAGAGAGAAAAACATCAATGATGAGAGAGAATCATCATTCGGCTGCCTCCTGCACGCCCCCGACTGGGGATCAAGCCTGCAACCTGGGCATGTGACCCAACTAGGAATTGAACCGTGACCTCCTGGTTCATAGGTTGAAGCTCAACCACTGAGCCACACCGGCCGGGCTACATACACATTATTTCTAAGATTTTTGCATTTATGCCTGTAAGCAAAATTGCTTTGTGATTTTCTTTTCCTTAACCATCCATATCTGGTTTTGGTATCAATGTTCTAGATGATGTCTTCATTTTTTCCCCTAGAGTTATAATTATGTTAAGTTAGTGTGAGATATTAAAAACGAGTCATTACTCTTCTAAAGTAGTGAAAAATCATTATGTAATTATAATGGACGTGTCCATGATTGCAGGTTATAGACTCATCATTGAAAAGACTGGAGTGTCATCCCATTGAAATAGAAGAATTTGTGGAACATTTTACTTTTCTGGATGCAATTTCCTCCAGAATACCTAAATTAGAGAAAGAGTACTCCACCATTGCTCAACTGTATTCTGTTCTGAGTTATTACCAGGTCTATATTTCAGAAGAGCAAGTCGCCACCTATAAAGTCCTTCTGATCAGGTTTAATCAACTCAAAAGTGCTGTCAAGCTGAGCAAACTGAACAAGGACGCTGCCATTGGCAAGTTCCGAGACAACCTGGAAGCCTACGTCACTGGCCTGCGGACCGACGCCAGTCATTTAAAGGCCAAGGTAAGTTTCCGTGTTTGGTGAAAAGTCAGCCGGGTCTTGTTCTCAGGTCGGCCTAAGCAGGCCGGTGTTTTCTTTCTGTGGACTCCTAGGTCAGGGATCTAATCCACGGATTCCTCACCTGGAACCCACAAACAGAATCTGGATGATGCGTGAAGCTTGAATGGGAAGTGACAGTGCGTGTCTGTTCTCACAAACCTCCAACTGAAATTTTGCTTCCATTACGAAAATCTGTTTCCCTTCTGAGTGAAGGTAGACAGCAAACGACAGCAAAGCTGGTTCACCACAGGCTTCAACAGACTGCCCGAGGGGGTCGGGGGGCAGGGGGAAGGCATGGCATGAAAAGGGCAAAGAAACCCTTAGACCAGGGGTCCTCCAACGACGGCCCGCGGGCCACATGCAAATACAAATATTGTATTTGTTCCCGTTTTGTTTTTTTACTTCAAAATAAGATATGTGCAGTGTGCATAGGAATTTGTTCATAGTTTTTTTTTTTTTAAACTATAGTCCGGCCCTCCAACGGTCTGAGGGACAGTGAACTGGCCCCCTGTTTAAAAAGTTTGAGGACCCCTGCCTTAGATCTTCCTGGGTCTTAGCCTCGGCCAGGGGTGCGGCACGCCCGGCCGGTGGGCCGTACGAGGCCGTGAAATCATTTGGTCTGGCCCTGCCAAGGCATTAGGGGTGAGTTAGTTAAATGTTTGACCGAATATAGCAGGTTCATTTTTATTTAATTTCTTAAAATTATTACTATTTTTTATTGTTGACAATAATACAGTTGTCTCCCATTTCCCCCTCCCCTTTACCTCCCTCCCCCCTCCCCCCCAGGTCTTCGCCACCCTATTCCTCCTGTCCACGGGCTGTGCATATAAGCAGATAAGTTCTTTGGTTTCTCTCTCCTCACCCCCCCACCCCCACATGGAGGCATGTCAGTCTGTTCCATGTCTTCCTGCTTAGGGTCTTGTTTTGTTGGTCAATTCGTTTTTTGTTCATTAGATGCCACAAATAAGTGAGATCATGTGATATTTGTCTTTCTCTGACTGACTGGTGTCACTTAGCATAATACTTTCCAGGGTCCCTCCATGCTGTCTCAGAGGGTAAGAGCTCCATCTTTTTAACAGCTGCATAGTATTCTGTTGTGTCAATGTGCCACAGCTTTTTTATCCACGCATCTACTGATGGGCACTTGGGCTGTTTCCAGATCTTAGCTATTGTGAGTAATGCTGCTATGAACATAGGCATAAGTACATTCTCTCTCATTGGTATGTTTTGGGGGTTTTAGGATATATTCCCTTGAAGTGGGGTTGCTGGGTCAAATGGCAGTTCCATGTTTAATTGTTTGAGGGAACCCCATACTGTTTTCCATAGTGGCTGCACCAGGCTGCATGCCCACCAGCAGTGAATTTTGTACGGCCCTCGAATGATGTTACCAACATCCAGATGGCCCTGGGCAGAAGAAAGGTTCCCCACCCCTGGTCTAGGCCCAGTGGTAATGGTAGTTCCAGCTTCACTTACCACGAGAAGCAAACTGTCAGACACCGAACATTCACTGAGCCTTTACTAGCCAGTAACTGTCCTAGGGGGTCCTGGAAGGAAAAAATAGTCGACTCACTGCTGATTCGGTGGCACTTCAAATGAGCATCTTCTCCCTCAGTCTGCCTTCACTGTGTCCTCTCAGATTCCTCAGTAGCTGCTCTTGGGGTCTGTCCAGGGTTTGTAGCTGTTTTATTGGGAGAGACGGGGTGGGGCCTGTGGATGCCCAGATCTGACTTCCATTGTATAACCTTTCAAACTATTTCATGTACATACTGTTGACTGCGGTCATTCTTGGAGGATCTCTGTTTGAAGCTGCTGGTAGGAGTGGCAAAACTTTGCCTTGACTCCATCTAAGCTAGTAAGATTAGTCCTCCAAGTATTCGCTCCTCTCTCAAGATAACTCATTGATAAATAAGTATTAATGAGTGGGAAATTATGGGAGAAGCTCGCTAAGGAAAACTTTTCTTATATAGGCATCGCGGTTACAGATGATATATTAAGCCTCATCCATTGTCACAGATATATGGTTTATCAATTTTATAGAACTCACTGTTACAGTGTCCTCAGTGTTGATTTGATGACCACACTCCCTGTAACACAGTATTATATGCAGTCCCATGGGTTGGATTTTTCAAAAGAATAAGATGATAGGATCCAGATGAATTTGTTCTTTTAGGAACGTTTTAATAAAGAACTCCCACCTGCCTTTGATGGTGCGGGGTTCTCTGAGGTATACACAGCCTAAACCTTAATCTTAAGAAGTTGTTCATTTAGTAAGGAAAATCAGAGCAAACTTTTACTCACATCTTTCTCTCTTTGGATGTCATTGTTGCAAATGCCCACAATGTCCTGGGTAAGGATAAAACTCTCACACGAGGCAACACGTGACAAGCGTCATAAAAGTAAGGCACCCTTTTCCAGGGTCAGGAAGCGGGAATGCGGGCCACACCCGGCACCGCCGCTTACCATCTGACGACAGGAAGATTATTTACAACCTCAGAAGTTCTTTGAAAAATTATACAAACTAGTAACTGTCTTTGAAGATGGTTGTGTGGATTTAGTAAGGAAGGTAACATGTTGCCACCACGCCTGAAATAGAGAAGATACACAGGAAATTATAGATCTGATGGTAATAATAATCATGACAATGGCCCTAACCGGTTTGGCTCAGTGGCTAGAGCAGTGGTTCTCAACCTTCCTAATGCCGCGACCCTTTAATACAGTTCCTCATGTTGTGGTGACCTCCAACCATAAACTTATTTTCGTTGCTACTTCATAACTGTAATTTTGCTGCTGTTATGAATCGTCATGTAAATATCTGATATGCAGGATGTATTTTCATTGTTACAAATTGAACATCATTAAAGCATAGTGATTAATCACAAAAACAATGTATAATTATATATGTGTTTTCCGATGGTCTTAGGCGACCCCCAAAGGGGCCCCGACCCACAGGTTGAGAACCTCTGGGCTGGAGCGTTGGCCTGTGGACTGAAGGGTCCCAGGTTCGATTCTGGTCAAGGGCGTGTACCTTGGTTGCGGGCACGTCCCCAGTGGGGAGTGTGCAGGAGGCAGCTGATCGATGCTTCTCTCTCATTGATGTTTCTAACTCTCTATCCCTCTCCCTTCCTCTCTGTAAAAAATCAATAAGATAGATTAAAAAAATAATGACAATGAATCGTAACCAACACAAGGAATTACACGCTAAAGGTAATCTCCCCAGATGGTGGTTGCACATGACATTGGGCTGCGTGCTGAGACGCGGTCCGTGAGCGTGGCCACCTTCCGAGCGCTGTGACCTCTTGGCGTGTGTCCCTGCTCTTTTCCAGGTGAAGACGCCTGTTCTGTTACACATGGGGACCCCGGCGTCCACCGCGATGGAAATGGTCCAGGCCTTCTCCCAGGAAGCCGCCACCCTCGCCAACAAGGTCCAGATCTGCGCCAACTACCAGGAGTCGATCAGCGAGGCCCCGTCGCACCTGCACCCCCTGAACGTGGAGGAGCTCACCCAGGCGGTGGCGGCCGAGATCTCCGACATCGACTATGAGCTGACCTTGAGGAAGATCCTGTGGGAGGCGCAGGAGGAGTGGCGAGCGCTCTTCCAGGAGTGGAGGGCCAGCACCCTTCAGGACATTGACATAGAGTCGGTGCAGAGCAACGTGTCCAAGTGGCTGAGCCTGATCTTGGTCCTGGAAAAAGGTAAACGCGTCCTCCCCGTGGTGGCCCGCCCAGAGTTACATACAAGACGCCCCCTGGGTCAGCAGGGTCACCCTCTCTCTCCCAGTCCCCACGACCTGACCGCTCACGGCTGGAGAGACGGCCCAGGGCGCAGGTGGGATTATTTCCTGAAGCAAAAGAAAAGAGATGGAGACTTGGGCCCCAAATTTGCTTAACGTCATGAATAACAGTTTGCGTCTCCTTTTTAAAAAAATACATTTTTTATTGATTTTTTACAGAGAGGAAGGGAGAGGGATAGAGAGTTAGAAACATCGATGAGAAACATCGATCAGCTGCCTCTTGCACGCCCCCTACTGGGGATATGCCCACAACCCAGGTACATGCCCTTGGCCGGAATCGAACCTGGGACCCTTGCAGTCCACAGGCCAGTGCTCTAGCCACTGAGCCACACTGGCCAGGGCCCCTCCCTGTTCTTTTTAAGGGGCAGTAAAAAAAAAAGTTCTAAGGGTTGAACCTGCACCTGCACAGGTTTGAGTCTTGTGTCTCAGTGCTGTCAGTGCCATGGCAAAGCTTTCACCGACATTTCAGTGTTCAAGTATCTTCCTTATGAAAAAATAGTGACTCTGTTTTTCCCCGTGATGTTGTTCCCTACTGAGCAGAATTTAAAAGCCCCAAACCTTAACAGTCTCTTTTTAAAAATATATATTTATTGATTTCGGAGAGGCAGGGAGAGGGAGAGAGATGGAAACATCAATGATGTGCCCTTCACCAGGAAGCGAACCATGGCTTCTTGGCTCGTAGGTCGATGCTCAACCACTGAGCCACACCGGCTGGACCCTATTATAGTCTTTTGAATGCCAACGTGTGCCTGTCTGTCTGTCTGTCTGTCTGTCTTGTCAGTGACACTCGGAACCCTGTAGCAGCTTTCCTAGCATCAAATGCCATCAGGTGACTTGGTTCTCTGATCAGCAGTGCCATATCTCTTTACTCCATAGTTCAGTCTTACGGGAGGATGATAGTCATCAAACTCACTGTTTTAGTGCAGACGGATAACTGATCAACGCGGTCTGGTTTCAAACATACAGTGAGCATGTCATCAGCCCACCGACCCATTGCTGTTCACAGACCTACCCCAGAACAACATGGTAGCGTACCTGAAGCAGTCGGTGACCAGCTTTAAGCAAGAGCTGCCCATCATCATCGCCCTGGGGAACCCCTGTCTCAAGCCCCGGCACTGGGAGGCCTTCCAGGAGATCATTGGGAAGTCCATCACCCTGGATAGAAACTGTACCATAGAGAGCCTTCTCGTGCTCAAGGTAAGCGAGGGGAGTCCGGAATAAAACAAAAACGGGTGAAATGCCACCGGGGCTCATTTTAAGCGAGCAAATACATCTACAGCAGTGGTTCCCAAACTTATTTGGCCTGCCGCCCCCTTTCCAGAAAAAATATCACTCAGCGCCCCCTGGAAATTAATTTTTTTTTTAATTTTAATAGCAATTAAACAGAAAGATATATGTACTAATGTTTCTACCTTTTTCGTAAAATATAGTAAAGAAAGGTGTACATTAGAAACACTGAAGTTTGAAATTATGAAGCTATTTCTTGAACTCAGAATAGAAAGGTAATACAAAAAAAGTTAAAACAAATGCACCTGTGGCCATCACCGCCCCCCTGGATCGCTGCATTGCTGCAGGGCCCACCAGGGGGGGGGAGCCCCCCCTTTTGGGAATCCCTGATCTAAGGGGATGAGGGGGCCAAAAAAGGGGGGATTTCTGGTTGCAGGTTTTTCTATTTTTGCGCCTGGCTTACAATAAGCTCCATGGATGTTTCGTGATTCAGTGTTGACAGTCTCTAATGAAATCAATCACCAGTATTTTATACCTATAATCTACTAACTGATTTGCTGTAATGAGGAAATGGGGGGGAGGGGGCGCGTCACAAAGGTCCCGCCACGCAGCCTGTGGTTGGGATGGAACCCGAGCGCATCCGACCTTCACTGTTTCCGCTGTCCCCGTCACGTGTTCGCAGCGGTCTTCCATTTTTGATGTATCCGGAATGATCTGCTGCGCTGACAACTAAAAAACGTGAATTTCCCTCCCAGATGTGTCAGTATGAAAAGGAAATCAATGAAATCTCCACCTCGGCCACGCACGAAGCTGCTCTGGAAAAGCTGCTGTTTAAGATCATCGACCTTTGGAAGACGACCCCTTTGCACTTGGTCCTTCATCACACGGAGACGGACGAGATCCTCATCATTTCGTCTCTGGATGACTTGCTGGCCCAGTTGGAGGAGTCTCAGATCATGCTCGCCACCGTGAAAGGGTCCTCGTATAGCGAGCCCATTAAGGTAGGTGGTGGGGCCCAGGGGACCTGCTGTCATTGTCCACCCTCTTGTTGATCACTTCACATTTTTGCCATCTGGGAGCTTTGGATTTGAATAATGCATTGAAATACTTACACCAAACTGGATTGAATAGCGGATAAAAGACTAAAAAAAATAACTTTTTATGGAAACGTTCGCTGTTCATGAGGAATTGTCAGAACGTCTCATTTGGGCAGACGAGGTGAATTTAGGCAAGATGCAAACAGGAGCCCGCAAGCCGGGGCGTTCCCAGCAATGCCACTGCCACTGCCAATGCCCACAGGCCCCCCCCCGTGCCCGTGCCCGGACCATTGCCCTGTCGTCTGTGTGCTGGAGAGGAATACCTCATTTTAATTCCCTGTGTTATTTCTCTTTTTTAAAAAAAATACGTATTTTTATTGATTTCAGAGAGGAAGGGAGAAGGGGAGAGAGAGAAACATCAGTGATGGGAGAGAATCATTGATCGGCTGCCTCCTGCACGCCCCCTAGTGGGGATCGAGCCTGCAACCCAGCATGTGCTCTTGACTGGAATCAAACCTGGGACCCTTCAGTCCACAGGCCGACGCTCTATCCACTGAGCCAAACCGGCTATTGCCATCCTGGCTTTATGCTCGTGTGTTCCTGCAGTTATTTCTGCACCAAACAGCAGCCTCCACATCTATTCTAGTGTAAGTTGAAATGAAACCACAGAGCTTGTATTTGGTGTTCTCTGATAGTCCTTCCTGGACAGCCTCCATCCAACAACATAGATGAGAATCATTTAAACTTCAGGAAACTCTACAAGATGTGTAACAATATAGAAATATTTACTAGTAAAATTAATTATAGATAGTGTGAGAGAAATATCTATTCAACAGATGCAATTCATAGTATTTGCAGACATACAAACATTTAGGGAAAATGTCAATTGGACCTCAGAGAAAAACACTAAGTGAATTAACCCCCCCCCAAAAAAAAGTTAAATCACATAAACTGTTCTCTAACCATGTGCAGTAAAATAAAAACTGAACAGTAGAAAAGTTGCAAAAAATAGACAACAACCAAATCACTCACAAAAAATGGAAGTTTAAAAGAAACTAGAAGAATATATAGGAAATGTAATCAAATTTTTAATTGAAAATGAGCAAGAAGGAGAGAATTATAAATCAAACCTTTGACAGCTGGCGAGAGCCCTAAAAAAGGAATAGTTAGAGCACTAAATGCCTTTATTACTAATGGAAGTTTTCTGATATTAAAAGAATGAAGAAAACTTACAAGCATGTGTACAAAACTTCTGTAAAACACAGGTTAAAAAAAAGCAAGCCACAGAACAATGTATATAATATGATTGCATTTATGTAAATTATTAAAGACGTTATATGTGTATGTACATCTGTGCAACAATGTTTAAAGAAAGGAATGAAAGCATATACATACCAAAAAATATTTGTATATTGCATAATGAATAAGACAGAAAATTGAATGAGTAGGACACCTCACACCTCCCCAATACTAAATATAATGAGACTTATATTCATGTCCAGACCCTCCAGGCATTACTTCCTGTATGTCAGTGACTAATAATCAGTTTTGTGTTCAGTTTCTATTCTATGAATCTTACAAGTAATTTTCCATTTAGATTTTGGTTTCTGTCCTTGTAGGGTCTTGTGGATAAATGGGACCAAAAGTTGACTCTCTTCTCATACACCCTGGAGGAGTGGGTGAACTGTCAAAGATCTTGGCTTTACCTTGAACCAGTCTTCAATTCTTTGGAGGTAAAAAGGTAAAAACTTGAAATATGCCACATACGGGCACAAAAAAATCATCGTGGATAATTTATTCTCTGTGATTCTGGAGAAACCATTTCTTCAATGAACACTCTCGCTGCCAAATGATTATTATATTTTTTCCTTCGTAGAAAATGGAAAATATCATTTTTTAAAGCCTTATTTCTCTGTTATTGATAGGGAGCTATTAAGGACAAGAAAGAAATGTCAGATGCATCATTATAATCTCCAAGCTATAATATCTGTCTCTATTAGTGTGGTTCTTTAAAAAACATTTTTATTGATTTCAGAGAGGAAGGGAGAGGAAGAGAAAGAAGCATCAGTGATGAGAAGGAATCATTGATCGGCTGCCTCCTGCACACCCCACACTGGGGCTCGAACCTGCAACCTGGGCATGTGCCCTGACCGGGAATTGAACAGTGACCTCCAGGTTTATAGGTTGACGCTCAACCACTGAGCCGCACTGGCCGGGCTATTAGTGTGGTTTTGATGTAAACAGTAAGCGTGTTTTTTAGTAGCATTCATACATAAATGATAATTTCTTACTCTGGACCACGTGAAAGAATAAAGGACCTAGACAAGTGGTTCTCAACCTTGGCTGCACATTAGAATCACCTGGGGATCTTTTTAAAATCCTGATTTCTGGGCCTCATCCTCTGGAAATTCTGTTTCTTTGTTTTGGGGTGAGGCCACAACATTAGTAACAAAGAAACAGAATTTCTGGAGGATGAGGCCCAGAAATCAGGATTTTAAAAAGATTCCCAGGTGATTCTAATGTGCAGCCAAGGTTGAGAACCACTGACCTAGACAACGTTGAAAATTTTACCATCTCTTTCTATTCTTAGCATTGGAATTAATTGGTCTCTTTGTAGCTGATTGGTCTTAAGGGTGCTTAAGTTGAGACATATGTATTATCGAGGCAGAATTTAAACAGTGGACATCACACAAGCTAGTCTAGGGGCCATTCTGAAATAAGGTAGAAAGTGATGAGGTGTATGTTTATAAGGCATATTAGAGCAAATGATAGAAAACCTTGAATATCAGGTGAAGTATTTTGAGCTTTATTTTAGATGCATGGGGGAGCTCCTAGGGGTTAACAAAAGAGAAATGTTTAGATGCATTACTTCGTAGGAAACAGTATCCCTTTTTGTTGTATGCATATAGTTCTTACCATATGAATGCTTTAGACCAGTGATGGCGAACCTTTTGAGCTCGGCGTGTCAGCATTTTGAAAAACCCTAACTGAACTCTGGTGCCGTGTCACATATAGAAATTTTTTGATCTTTGCAACCATAGTAAAACAAAGATTTATATTTTTGATATTTATCTTATATATTTAAATGCCATTTGACAAAAATCAACCAAAAAAATGAGTTCGCGTGTCACCTCTGACACGCGTGTCACAGGTTCGCCATCGCTGCTTTAGACTCTATTCACCTACATTTATTCTCAAAGTGCTCTGAGGAGGTGAAACCACATAACTAAGGGGAATGTCCTTTATGGCCACGACAACTTAGTGCCTGAAATGCAAACCTCAATGCTACCTTTTACGAAACATTTCTTTTCTTTTTTTAAAAATATTTTATTGATTTTTCACAGAGAAGAAGGGAGAGGGACAGAGAGTAGAAACATCGATGAGAGAGATCGATCAGCTGCCTCCTGCACGCCCCCCACTGGGGATGTGCCCGCAACCAAGGTACATGCCCTTGACCGGAATCGAACCTGGGACCCTTGAGTCCGCAGGCCGGCGCTCTATCCACTGAGCCAAACAGGTTCGGCGAAACATTTCTTAACGAGAGGGAAGACTCCTAGGTAAGGGATTTCGGAATATCACCAAGTTGTTCTTTGACAGGTTTGGCTAGCAGGCTGAAAACAGGGCTTCTGATTAAAGGCCCCTTTGCCATGGCTGTAAAGAACAGAAAAAGTGGGTCTGGAATAGACCCGCCTTCGACTCACGGAGAAAGATGATGGGCCGATGCGCTATCCACTGAGCAAGACCGGCCAGGGCCGAATTTTCGTAGCCCTTTGTTTTATTCCAGACCCTCCGACAGAAATCACTCCCACACACTCTATGTAGAACTTTTTTTAAAAATATATTTTATTGATTTTTTACAGAGAGGAAGGGAGAGAGATAGAGAGTTAGAAACATCGATGAGAGAGAAACATCGATCAGCTGCCTCCTGCACATCTCCTACGGGGGATGTGCTCGCAACCCAGGTACATGCCCTTGACAGGAATCGAACCTGGGACCTTTCAGTCCGCAGGCCGACGCTCTATCCACTGAGCCAAACCGGTTTCGGCTCTATGTAGAACTTTTATATCTCAAGCTTATACCCCTCGTTAAGCCTGATCTTGTGAAATGACGGCTGGATAGCCAATCTATGGTAGTATTTCCTACCATGTACGCCACTAGTACACAACAGACACTAAAAAAAAACCACACAAACAAACTTTAGTTAATGCTCGATCAGCAAAAATATAACGGAGCACAACATTTTGTAAATTGAACACTGTTGGGTGGCAGGTGCACTGAGCTGGCAGATTTTCATGATCATTTCTTCAAAAAATAAAACGATTCCCAATTTTCTTTGTGCAGGCAGCTCCCAGCAGAATCGGAACTCTTCTCTCAGGTGATGGACATGTGGAAGGAGATCATGTTAAAAATCCAAAACAAGCTGAACGCCTTGGGAATAGCCATCTCCACGGGCGTCCTGGGGATCCTGAGAAACTGTAACGTCTCTCTCGAACGGATAAAGAAAAGTCTGGAGGTAAGGCGGCCGAGGCCCTAGGGTGCAGAACCGTTCAGCTCACACCCTGCCACGTAACACCCCACGTGGCCCCACCCCGGGGCAGGTTTTCGTTGTTGCTCTAGCTTCCCAACGGTATTTCCAACGCTCACCATCTGTTGGGCTCATGCAAACACTAGAGAGAGCCCCAGCTGGTGTGGCTCAGTGGATAGAGCGTTGGCCTACGGACTGAAGGGTCCCAGGTTTGATTCCGGTCAAGGGCACATGCCTGGGTTGCAGGCTCCATCCCCAGTCGGGGGCGTGCAGGAGGCAGCCAGTCAATGATTCTCTCTCATCATTGATGTTTCTATCTCTTTCTCTCTCCCTCTCCTTTCCTCTCTGAAATCAATACAAATATATTTAAAAAAAACGAACAGTAGAGAGCAGTGGTGGCGAACCTTTGGAGCTCGGCGTGTCAGCATTTTGAAAAACCCTAACTTAACTCTGGTGCCGTGTCACATACAGAAATGTTTTGATCTTTGCAACCATAGTAAAACAAAGACTTATATTTTTGATATTTATTTTATATATTTAAATGCCATTTAACAAAGAAGAATCAACCAAAAAAAGTGAGTTCGCGTGTCACCTCTGGGCACGTGTGTCATAGGTTCGCCATCACTGGTCTAGAGAAAGGGAAGAGACGTGCATGGACCAATCTAAATGATCTTCAGCAAAGTCTCACATTTTTAAGTGCCTGCCTGCACGCGCCCCAATCAGGGCCCTGGCCGGGGAGGAGCCTGCAACTGAGGATATATGCCCTTGACCGGAATCGAACCCGGGACCCTTCCGTCCGCAGGCCGACGCTCTATCCACTTAGCCACACTGGCCAGGGCACCTGTGGTTTTAACATTGTGGCTTCTGTGTGCCCATGGAGGCCCAACTCGATTCGTATCCTGATGACACATATTCTGAATTGCACTTCTTTTGGTTCTGGACAGGACTACCTTGAAGTTAAAAGGATGATTTTCCCAAGATTCTACTTCCTTAGCAACGAGGAACTTCTCGCGATCCTGGCGGGGAGCAGGGACCCCGAGTCTGTCCAGGTGAGACCACTGTCCTCTGCTCCGCAGCGTTATCCCCAAAAGCCACGGGGCGGGGGGGGGGGGGGGGGTGGTGATGCTCGCTTGTTTCTGGGCCACAGCCCCACCTGGTGAAATGCTTTGAGAAAAATAAGCAGCTGCTGATCTGGAAGCAGGAGGTCGGCCCTCCCACCGTGATCATGCTCATCTCCAACGAAGGAGAAGCCCTGTTACTGCCCAAGTAGGACCTTTACGTTGCAAAACCTCCGCTTGGCGATTTCTGATGGATCGTAGAAGTTGGCTAAGCAAACTACTTCTTTTAAAAAAAACGCATACTGCCCTCATTGGTTTGGCTCAGTGGATAGAGCGTCAGCCTGCGGACTGAAGGGTCCCGGGTTTGATTCCAGTCAAGGGCACATGCCTGGGTTGCAGGCTTGATCCCCAGTCGGGGACATGCAGGAGGCAGCCAATCCATGATTCTCTCTCATCATTGATGTTTCTATCTCTCTTTCCCTTTCCCTTTCTCTCAGAAATCAATAAAGATATATTACAAAAATAATAAAATAAATACATACATACATACATACTTTTTATTGATTACAGAGAGAGGGAGAGAGAGAGAAACATCAACGATGAGAAAAACCATTGATCGGCTGCCTCCTGCACGCGCCCTACTGGGGATCGAGCCCACAACCCCGGCCTGTGCCCTGACCGGGAACCAAACCGTGACCTCCTGGTTCGTAGGTCAATGCTCAACCACTGAGCCACGCTGGCCAGGCAGCAAACTATTTCTTCGAAGATAATATGCTTGTCTGGAATTTTACCCTTCCATGTCTATATGGAGTAACAGGATCCTGAAAACCAACGCGAGATGTTATTAGTTGAATACAGGCCGTAAGGGAACTCGCTTGGGGTTGTTGGTGCTGCCCCTTCTGATTCTCCTTCCGTCGCACTGGTCCAGTCTGCCAGCCGTGGCCTGGGGCTCCTGGTGTGTGTGGTTTGAAAGCATGCTGTGCCCCAGTCTTGTCATCCACCAAAACCCCTCACTGGCCCCTGATCTAGGCTTAGTGTTTCAAAGATCCAGCGAGGAATCCAAAATTGCTTTGTAATATAACCTATCTATTTTGAAAATTCGTATTTAACGGGACTGTTCATTTTGCAAATTTATGGTGTTGATGTCAGAATTTCCTAAAGCTAAGTGACATGTTTTGGGTTTTGTTTGTTTTTTTGCATAGTTTCCCAAATTAAGGTCTAGAAAAATAAAAGCTGTTACAGAATTAGAGTCCTTTGGCCTGTGAGTGGTATGAGTAGAGAAGACTTAGTCTACAAGCTTATCACAGGAATGAAACAGGAGTAAAGGTAACCCTCCACATGGTTATTTCTTAAATTACAGGAAAATTCGTGTAAGAAATGCTGTGGAACAGTGGCTGGAAAACGTAGAGAAGAGCATGTTTGACGTGCTAAAAAAGTAAGTACAATGGTCAGATCCTAATATATGTGTGTGTGTGTGTGTGGATATTTATATATATATATATATATATATATATATATATATATATATATAGAGAGAGAGAGAGAGAGAGAGAGAGAGAGAGAGAGAGAGACTTGGTTAATTATCTCCTAATCTAAGTGGGAACTAGACAGAGAAATGCATGAAGTGAAATCTATTGGGTCATGTTGATAAGCGTCAGCTTGAGGGTGTGACCACGGACAGCATCGGTATTTGTGTACTTTGAGATTCTTAAGGGTCTGAACACTGGCCGGATTGGCTGCTTCCCTGAGACCTGGTGCCCAGGAGGCCTCCGGGAACAGCCCCTTCACTTCTGTGCGTCTCTGTCCCATTTCTGCTCCCTGGCATCGTTTACTTGGTCTAGTCTTTTTTTAAATGTGTTTTTATTACTGATTTCAGAGAGAGGAAGGCAGAGGGAGAGAGAGAAACATCAATGATGAGAGAGAATCACTGACCAGCCGCCTCCTGCACGCCACCCCCCACCCCCCACACTGAGGATCGAGCCTGTAACCCAGCACGTGCCCTGACCGGGAATCGAACCGTGACCTCCTGGTTCATGGGTCGACGCTCAACCACTGAGCCACACCGGCTGGGCTACTTGGTTTAGTCTTTTTAATGTTCTCCTTTCTATAGTTGAATCTGTCATTGCAATCTGTGTAGAATAAAGGCAGAGCCTCAGTGTGTGCGCATCTAAATTGGACTAGAACAGTCTTTCTACATTTCTAGCTCTTTACTGTTGGTTATGGGAAAGCCACTGGTTCTGAAGTTTTAACACGTTGCGGACCGGTAGTTTCATTGCTAGCTTTACCCAGTGGCCGGATAAGTCTCTATTGGACGAGGTCAAAAAACGTTTTACATAAATGTTAAAGGCACGCTTTACAATTAAATACCCATTGCATTTTGAAGTTATGTATGACGTGCTCTTACAAGCTAATATCTTTTTAAAGTATGATATTTTGTAAAACACTGTGTACTATGGAGCGAGAATTCTCGTGATCCGTCCACAGGGTGTTAATATCGATATTTATTAATATTATGCCAACACCACCACAGGCTTTCCAGAGGAGAGCAGGTTACCATTTACCTGCAGAAATAACCACTGGGCTTTCCTTTGCTCCACTTCTGACCCCTGGTGATGTGTGAGGACCAGGTCTCATTCCACGTGAGGGAGGAGGGTGCTTCTTTCTGTAGGCAGGGAACCCCCAAAATGCATCTGGGCATTTGAGAGACATGCAGATTTCCAATGGCTGGTTAGACAATCTTATCCTTCGCTAATGAGGATAGTTCTCTCTCTGTCTTTACAGTTTTTTTTTAAAAATGTCCTTTCCTTTCGATGTTGTCTAGGGTGACAAATCTTGTACAGTGTTGAAAAGCACAGATGCCAGTGAGCAGAAACTGTTGCTTCTAGTTTTATTGGGAAAGCTGCTCGCGATTCGCCTTCAGTTACGATGCTCAGGTTTCTGGAAACTGCGTCTTATCACCGTCTCTAATCATTAAAGATGTTCGGCCGAAACCGGTTTGGGTCAGTGGATAGAGCGTCGGCCTGCGGACTCAAGGGTCCCGGGTTCGATTCCGGTCAAGGGCATGTACCTGGGTTGCGGGCGCATCCCCAGTGAGGAGTGTGCAGGAGGCGGCTGATCGATGTTTCTCTCTCATCGATGTTTCTAACTCTCTATCTCTCTCCTTTCCTCTCTGTAAAAAATCAATAAAATATATTTTAAAAAATAAATAAATAAAGATGTTCAGCTGCCCTAAATGACTTCTGTGACTCTACTGAGAAACTCAAATGCAGTTTCATCTTTAATTTGTGGATATCAGGAATTACATGCATACATTTCCTTAGGGTGAACTTTTCTTGATATTCTTATTCCCTTTTGGGTCTACTTACTTTCATAGGCAACTATACAATCATGTCCTACTTCTTCCGTGCATTTGCCAATTTCTTTCTCTTTCTAACACCTGTTATATCTTTTGCTGTGTTGTTACATGCAAACCTTCTTAGTAGAGTGTGTACCTTCAGTCAGCACCTCGGTGTCGGCACCAGTTAATATTTTTTATTACATGCTATTTGTTGAATAGCTTGTCACAGCTGTTTCCATGATCAGAAGACGTTCGTATCACAATGTTATTTTGAACATTTCTGTCTCGTGTTGTTGTTCCGTGAATCAAGTATAAAAATGGATTTTGATTTTTTGCTTTTACTTGGTTTTACTTTTATTCACATCAGAGTGTTTGCTGTCCGTTCTGGTCGGTCGGGACGCCCCAAGGTCACCCTCTGCCCCTGCTCGGTCTTGTGTGTACTTGGCCGCCAGTGCCCTTGGGTGGTACGGCCTCGATTCCTCTCCTCGTGCGTCCACTAGCGTGGAGGCAAACATGAGGCTCCCCCCCGTGCCTCCCTAGTTTGGGCAAAATCTATGTCCCTTTTACCGAAAGCCACAGCTTGGGACAGGTGGTGCCTCTCTCCGGTGTCTCCAGCCCTCACCAGGTTCCAGCGACTTCATCCCCTTCCGCCGTTGGGCCTGAGGGCGGTAACATGGCCCCTGCTGCTAGACCCGGTGTCCACCATCCCTGCGGGTCCCCTAACCCTGCCCTCACCCCCGAGGGTCCCTTTATTTTTATTTTTTTAAAATATTTTATTGATTTTTTATAGAGAAGAAGGGAGAGGGACAGAGAGTTAGAAACATCGATGAGAGAGATCGATCAGCTGCCTCCTGCACGCCCCCTACTGGGGATGTGCCCGCAACCCAGGTACATGCCCTTGACAGGAATCGAACCCGGGACCTTTCAGTCCGCAGGCCGACGCTCTATCCACTGAGCCAAACCGGTTCGGCCCCGAGGGTCCCTTTAAACTCTCTTCCAGAGACCCTTTCAATGTGCCGTGTCCTGCCATTTCTTTAGATTTATTTTGATCACCCTCACACTTGGACTCCCGTCTGCCATGGTACGGTGTGATTTCCAATGGGGCTTTGGGTTTGTCCCCATTGGAAACGTGCAGATGATGCTAACGAGGAATTTAAGGGATATGAAGTAGGCACGAATCAAGGCTCTCTGGGTGCTATTTGGACCCGTACATGTACCTAAAATTGGAACAAAACAAAACAAAAAAATCGGAGTTCCTGGAGGAAATTCCTCCTGTGATCTTGTCCTGTTTGCTCACTGACTGGCCGCGATCAATGACCAGGTGTAAGTAATGGAAATACATTTTTCTGTTGACAGGTTTGTGAAGGAAGGGATCGAGGAATGGAGCCGCCAGCAATTTTCCAGCTGGGTGGTGTCTCACCCAGGACAAGTGGTGCTCACCGTGGTAAGTCAGCGCTGCATCCATCTTCAGGGAGGGCCTGGGGGCCACACCGCCAGGGAAGCACAGAGGTGGGGATGAGCCATCAGGCAGGGCACGCGTGTACGTCACTGACCCTGAAATGCATCTGGAAATAAGATATACAGATGGATGGACAGATGGACAGATAGGTGATAAAGCAAACACCCGCACAGCAAACCGTTAACTGTAGAACGCAGCTGGTGGGCGTTTGGAATTCATCTTATAATCCCTTTAAGTTTTCCAGTTTAAACCTTTCACAGTAAAATCTTTTTTAAATATATTTTTTATTGATTTCAGAGAGAGAGGGAGAGGGAGAGAGAGAAAGAAACATCAGTGATGAGAGAGAATCATTGATTGGCTGCCTCCTGCACACCCCCTGCTGGAGATCGAGCCCACAACCCAGGCATGTGCCCTTGACTGGAATTGAACCTGGGACCCTTCAGTCTGCAGGCTGATGCTCTATCCACTGAGCCAAACCAGCGAGGGCTCATAGTAAAATCTTGAATAAAAATAGGCCCTGCACTATCTTCCTAGGGACACCACACTCTTGTGCTCCCTCCGTTTTCTACCGCTGTCATGAAAAAGTCACTGCAAACTTAGTTGCTTAAAACAACACCCTTCATTATCTGACAGTTTTAGAAGGTCAGGACGTCTCCCTGGGCTCCGATCGGGGTGTCAGCAGGGCTGCGGTCCTCTCTGGAGGCCCAGGGGAGCCCCACTTCTTGTCTTTTCCAGCTTTGGGGGCCCCGGCCTTCATGTTCAAGGCTAGCGATGCTGCATGTCTCTGACCATTCTTCTGTAGTCCAGTCTCCCTCCGCCAACAGGCAGATAAAGGTCTCCAGTTTTAAGGATACATGGATGGCATTGGATCCACTCGAGTAACTTACCAGCCTCTTGACATATCCCCCGCCATTAACTTCTAGTCAATCTGACATTAACCTAGTAGCCGCCATAAAATAGCTCTAGTGTGTATGGGAAGAGTCAGTGATTACAGACGACATGTGATAGAAATAGTACTTCTGAGTTCAACTGAGGAAACACCACTAGTTTCATCTTGGAAGGTTGCTGTCGTTATTACTTAACCTGGTGGTTAAGGATACATTTAGAAAGTATAAATATTGGTGATAAGTATACTTCCATTTATTAATGACTGAGTCCCCCCCCACACACACACACACACAAGCATTAATCAAAATTCAATCTTTAACTCTCACATACATACAAAGGAGTAAGCTCTCTCTTTTACTCACATGCAAATGCCCTCATCCATACACACACGCCACACATAGATGTGAACACATTTGCTTTCATCTGTAGAATTGATGCTTCCGTTACCATGTTGACATTTTACCTTTGCAGAGCCAGATCATATTTTACAACGATTGCACCAGAAGTTTCATGAGTCCTGATCCGAGAGAAGGGCTGGAAAAGGCCCACGCGGACCTGATACAGCACTTAGAGCAGATCGCAGAGCTGGTGGTGCAGGACACGAGCAACGCGCGGACGAAAGTGGTCCTGGGGGCATTGATCACCCTCTACGTTCACTGCAAAGACATAGTGAGCGATTTGCTGCTTAAAAATATCTTCAGCGCCGAGGATTTCGAGTGGACAAGGTAGGTAGAGCTCAACTGGAACCCTACATGAAATCATTTCTCACATACCCACCGCTTGGTAAATTAACTCTGTACCCCAAACTTTGTCAGACCTGAATTTTAATTTTCTGGAAGAATCCATATTGCCAAAATGTCCATACTACCCACAGCAATCTATACATTCAATTCAATCCCTATCAAAATTCCAATGGTATTTTTCACAGAAATGGGAACGGGGGGTGGGGGGGAGGGCGCAGAAATCCTGAAATTTGTATGGAACCACAAAAGACCACCAGTAGCCAAACCCGTTTTAAGAAAAAAGCACCAAGTTGGAGGCATCACAGTTCCCGGTTTCAAACTACATCACAAAGCTGTCGTAATCAGAACAGTATGCTATTGGCATCAAAACAGACACATGGATCAATGGGACAGAATAAAGAGTCCAGAAATAAACCTACACACGTGGACAGTCTACAACAAAAGAGCCAATAATATGTCTCTTCAATAAATGGTGTTGGGAAAACGGAAAGGCCATATGCAAAGAATGAAACGGACCACTGTCTTATAAACAAGAATTAATGCAAAATGAACGAAAGACTTGAATGGAAGACTTGAAACCATAAAATCCCTAGAAGACAACATGGGTGGTAAGCTTCTTGACATCAGTCTTGGCGATCTGACTCCAAAAGCAAAGGCAAATATATTGTTATTGATGGCAGAGAGGAAGGGAGAGGGAGAGAGAGACACACATCAATGATGAGAGGGAATCATTGATCGGCTGCCTCCTGCACGCCCCACACTGAGGCTTGAACCTGCAACCTGGGCAGGTGCCCTGACCAGGAATCGAACCATGACCTCCTGGTTCATAGGTTGACGCTCAACCACTGAACCACGCCGGCCGGGCAAGATACAGTTTTTAAAAATAATTAGGACAAATGGCATTTCTCTCAACTACATTCACATAAGGATGTTACAATTAACAATGTCTTGAGCCACATTCTCATTTGAAACCATAATAAGCTTCATAGGGCTGATACTTCTAGAAATCCTCCGTTTATCTGACATCATACCAGGCAGCATGATGCAGCAAGGCCATTTTTCCTCCCGGGACGAAGATTCATGTGTATAGTCTTCTGAGTTCTCATTTCAGTGGCTGATACAGTCATTATGAATTTTCCATCACTTTTCATTTAATGCAGGGGTCCTCAAACTTTTTAAACAGGGGGCCAGTTCACTGTCCCTCAGACCGTGGGAGGGCCAGACTATAGTTTAAAAAAAAACTATGAACAAATTCCTATGCACACTGCACATATCTTATTTTGAAGTAAAAAAACAAAACGGGAACAAATACAATATTTGTATTAGCATGTGGCCCACGGGCCGTAGTTTGAGGACCCCTGATTTAATCTTGTGATTTCTGTTTTCAACCAGTATTTTATTTTTAATCTTGATTATGTTTCCGCATTTGGAAAAAAAAAAACAACACAAACTAAAAGCAATTTTGCCCCGATAACGTGAGCTTTGAAAATGTTGTTTTCAGACATCTGCAGTATAAATGGAACGAAAAACAGATGTTGTGCTACGTCTCCCAAGGCGATGCCAGGTTCACGTACGGCTACGAGTACTTGGGCTGCACCCCGAGGCTGGTCGTCACGCCTCTCACCAACAGATGCTGGCTGACTCTCACCGGGGCGCTGCACCTGAACATGGGGGGCTGCCCCTCGGGCCCCAACGGCACGGGAAAAACGGAGAGTGTCAAAGACCTGGCCAAAGTAAGTGGTTCTGCATCCAGAATGGCACCTTCCTTTGAGTCCTAAACTTGAACGGCACCGGACGTGGACACCATCTCTGTGAAGAGGTTCTTAACCGTTTGACGAGCCCATTCGGTTGTTCAGACCACGCAGCGGTTCATTTCCGAGCGGCTGTTCTGTGTGGGGAGCTGGGCGCTCACTAAGTCCACGTGTGCTCCGCATCTGCTTGGAAAGCCGTTGGACCAACGGCTGACATGCGAATGGTGGTTGTATTCCCCTTTTCCCTGCTTGTAGGGGCGATCCATTCATTTTGAGCCCCGTACACAGATTTTTGCCTAGTCTTGGTGGTGTGTGTGTGTGTGTGTGTGTGTGTGTGTGTGAGAGAGAGAGAGAGAGAGAGAGAGAGAGAGAGAGAGAGAGAGAGAGAGGCACAGGCACAAGAGACACCTGATAAAGGCGGTTATGTCACTGGAATGCTGTTTCCTTAGTTTATATTTGTTGGTGTGTTTATTTATTTATTTTTTAAATATATTTTATTGATTTTTTACAGAGAGGAAGGGGGAGAGAGAGAGAGAGTCAGAAACATCGATGAGAGAGAAACATCTGATCAGCTGCTTCCTGCACACCTCCCACTGGGGATGTGCCCGCAACCCAGGTACATGCCCTTGACCGGAATCGAACCCGGGACCTTTCAGTCCGCAGGCCGACGCTCTATCCACTGAGCCAAACCAGTTTCGGCTTGTTGGTGTGTTTAAAAAATGACCTTAATGCTCCACGTGCTAATCGAGCTGTAATGGCATATGAGCATTTCTGCTCAGTTCAGTTTTGTGAGTTTTAAAATTTGGTGTGTAACTAATCTTTAATCGCAAAAGTTTTCGCAAAAGAAGACATTCATTACTCCGGCAGTTTTAACCTTAGTTATTTTGTGTCATTGTTTAAGAACTATATTAAAATAATATTTTTGTTTCGCAGTCCTTAGGTAAACACTGTGTTGTCTTCAACTGCTTTGAGGATCTGGATTATAAGGTAAAGCTTATATACTCAGGTAAAAACATTATGCAGATGAAAGAAATAATTCCTTGGGGATTGAAAGAACAAGAAAAATGTCTTAGAGATGTATTAAGTATTAATAGAACTATATATGCTATTAATAATTTAATAGAATAGAAACTTAGAATGCAATATAAACTTAAAACATTATACAGTTTGCCTTTATTCAACTGAACTACTTCTTAAGATTGTGTTTTTCAAACTTTTTGATGGAGATATTTCCAAACAAAATCTAATATGGAATATAAATATAAATATAACAAATTAAGAGTACTGATCTACTCATATAAATTTTTTTTATGTGTTCTAATCCTATACATTAACTTACTGAAAAGGTAAATTGTTAAGAACAACGAGGCAATTCTAATGAACACAAAACTTTGAATCAGAGTTTATATGGATGATTACAACTTTCTATCAGCCCGTTTGTTTTGCTTGCACATTATCTAAGACATATCTCAGAATCTGGGATATTTATTAAAAGTTTACGTGCCTGTCGCAAATTTACTCGGAGCTGTAAAACATGTTATCGTGGTATGTCGAGTCCCAGCCTTTTACGTTCGATTGCTGTCATTTATTTGCAGTTCAAAGCACGTCACCTCTGAGATCCTGCATTTCCAGTCTGTGCTCACTCCGCTTATAAAAAAAAATCAGTAAATAAGCTGATTGAGTGATTATGGAGACTCGTACCAAGTAGAGTGCACCTTCTAGTGGGGCCCAGAGGACTAGGGGGGGGTGAGCTGCTGAGCAAACCTTCAGGGGGAGCCAAGAAATTTAGTAATCAAGATAAATAATAGTTTAATGCAGTCGTTTTAAGAATGAAAATTAATATCCACCACACCCCCCCCCCATGATAAACCCAGTATCAGGCATTTAAAGACAGTTCTGATTCCTACAGTGGGAGGAGGGGAGCGACTTCGGTATCCTGGGCCTGAGCCGCTCCCTCGGGCTCCCTCATCCCCTCTTCCCCCCTCACCCCCTCTCCCTCCCTCTCTCTAACACCTGGCAGAAGCTCCCCAAGGGCCCCAGATGCTGTTTGGTCTGACCATGGTTCTGTCTTGTCTTGTTTAGCTGCCAGCACTTACAGATCAATAGATGTCGATCCCAGAACACCGGCCATCTGGCCGCCCTGGGCTGGCGCCATCACAGGTGGCACAAGCTGAGTGGCAGCGGGCGCTTTAGCTGGGCCCCCCCACTCTGGCCTGTTCACTGGCCCCCCTCCCCCAGCAGCAGCCCACCCTTAGCCCTGAGTCTTGTCCTAACCGAGGAAAGGAGCCCCTTCCTTCAGGCACTCGGCCACCGTCTGCAGGAAAACTGTCCCAAAGACCTTACAGGGGAGCAGGGCTCTGTCTGGAACAGTGATGGCGAACCTATGACACGACTTCATTTTTTTTGGTTGATTTTTCTTTGTTAAATGGCATTTAAATATATAAAATAAATATCAAAAATATAAACCTTTGTTTTACTATGGTTGCAAAGATCAAAAAATTTCTATATGTGACACGGCACCAGAGTTCAGTTAGGGTTTTTGGAAATGCTGACACGCCGAGCTCAGAAGGTTCGCCATCACTGGTCTGGAACGAGGCCCTGGGAGCCCGGGCTGTGCAGTGAGGGCCGCCGTGGCCCCGCCTCGAGGGTCCCGGTCAGCATCAGAGTTGGCTACGGCGTGTTTAGGCTTCAGAGACGGGGCAGGTGACTTGCCCAACAGTTGGCAGACTTAGGCTTCACACAAAAAGCCTGCATCAGGGAGGACTTGCAGATGGTGTTTGCTTGGTTTGCGTGAATGGGAAGAAGATGCAAAAATGAATATCCTACCCCTGACCGGTTTGGCTCAGTGGATAGAGCGTCGGTCTGCGGACTGAAGGGTCCCAGGTTCGATTCCGGTCAAGGGCATGTACCTTGGTTGCGGGCACATCCCCAGCAGGGGGTATGCAAGAGGCGGCTGATCGATGTTTCTCTCATTGATGTTTCTAACTCTCTATCCTTCTCCCTTCCTCTCTGTAAAAAATCAATAAAATATATTTTTTAAAAAATGAATATCCTAGTGAAAATGTTCACCTGCGTAGTAATTGTCAATAATCTTTTTTTTTTTTAAGATAATGGGAAGATTCTTCTTCGGACTAGTTCAGTCAGGAGCGTGGTTTTGTTTCGATGAATTCAATCAGATTGATGTGGAAATCCACTCCGTCATTGCTTCCCTGATCCAAACAATTAAGGCGGCTAAAGACAGCTACTCCGTCAGGTACCTGCCCCGTGGACTGCACGTACGGTCCACGCTTACTGTTACTATTGTGAAATGTTTTCTTCCACGGATAGTGTTGGGTGTGGGCAGGCCACGTACCCATCATGTGTCTTTAGCTTGGCAGATAACGTGAAAAAGTATTGGAGTGGAAATTTTCTCAACGCCTTTTCATCTTATCACAGCGGTTCTCAACCTTCTGGCCCTTTAAATACAGTTCCTCAAGTTGTGACCCAACCATAAAATTATTTTCGTTGCTACTTCGTCACTGTCATGTTGCTACTGTGATGAATCGTAGTGTAAATATCTGATATGCAGGATGGTCTTAGGCGACCCCTGTGAAAGGGTCGTTCGACCGCCAAAGGGGTCATGACGCTGTCTTATCATGTTTCATTTGAAGAAACCCAAGTTTCTTTTCCCCCGTGTAATTCTACATCTTTTTACAAAGCCAATTCTGCTGGCCACACAGCCGAGCCCCCTCTTACTCCGTAACTCTGGGTTAATATATTTGAATGGAAAAGTCTTGTAACAGTGATATCTGTACATTAGATTGCTGATGCTTCCTAATCCAAACGAAAGTGGTTTCCTCTCCAGGTACATTCAGGAACTTGCATGATTCCCTTGGTGGGCACAGCTGGGGTGTGTGGGTTTAAAACTCCTCTGACAATCTAACATTTCTCACGCGAGCTAGGGGACATCCGCTTCCAACTTGACTTCCCAGGGATTCCTTCAAACTACGAGAGCAGTGATGGTGAACCTTTTGAGCTTGGCGTGTCAGCATTTTGAAAAACCCTAACTTAACTCTGGTGCCGTGTCACATATAGAAATTTTTTGATCTTTGCAACCATAGTAAAACAAAGGTTTATATTTTTGATATTTATTTTATATATTTAAATGCCATTTAACAAAGAAAAGTCAACCCAAAAAATGAGTTCGCGTGTCACCTCTGACACACGTGTCATAGGTTCGTCATCACTGTGCTAGAGCCACTGTCACGCGGCCTCACACGTCTGTGGATAGAAGTGGGGGCCACGGTGACCCACGTTGCACCCCTTCCTCACCACAGCCCAGCCTCGCTGGGTCTTCCTCAGCTGTGTCCGGGGAGTCCTCGGGCTTTGTCCCCCTGGGGTCCCCTTCCCTGTCGTGACCACCCTCGTTGGTATCGGCTGCTCATGAAATCACCAGATGATTTCTCTCTGTGTCTCCACTGTCGTCCCCGCGACAGAACCCTCATGTCTGTGCGAAGGGTCCGCCTCAGTGACCCCAAAGTTACTAAATTGGGCAGCAGGGGGCGGGCTGTGCTCCCCGCTAACACAGGAACTCGATGCCATGGCCACTCTGGGGTCTGCGGCGCCCTCTGGGCGGCGCTCTGGGCCCCAGGTCACCCCAGGTTCTTTTCCCTGTAACTCAGTTCAGTCATGTGGGTACCTTCCCGCCACAGGCCCCCCAAAACTCCTCAGCTTCTGACGTGAGCAAAGAAGCCAGGGTCCCAGCGGGGCTCACAGTTGTGGCTTCAGACGAGCCTCTCATTTCTCCTCTGACCATTGTTTCTTCCCACGAGGCTCTGTTTGGGTTTTAATGGAACAGCCCGAGGCAGGTTCCAAACTCAGGTTTTAGGGTTTTTTGGTTTTTGTTTTGTTCGTTTTTTTATGTGTTTTTTTTTTATTTCAGAGAGGAAGGGAGAGGGAGAGAGAGAGAGAGAAGCATCAATGATGAGAGAGAATCATCGATTGGCTGCCTCTTGCACGCCCCCCCACTGGGGATGGAGCCTGCAACCCAGGCATGTGCCCTTGACAGGACTCGAACCCGGGACCCTTCAGTCCACAGGCCGATGCTCTTCCACTGAGTAAAAGCAGCTTAGGGCTATTTGTTTTTTAATATATTTGTATTGATTTCAGAGAGGAAGGGAGAGAGAGAGAGAAACATCCATGATGAAAGGGAATCATGGATCGGCTGCCTCCCGCACGCCCCCCACTGGGGATCGAGCCTGTAACCAAGGTACGTGCTCTTGACAGGAATCGAACCGAGACCTCCTGGTTCATAGGTCGGCGCTCAACCCCTGAGCCACGCCGGCCGGGCGCGGTTGTGGTCTTCACATACTTGGGCCTAGAGCTCTCTTCGTGATGCCTGCTGTCATGTCCTGTAGGTTTGAACTGGAAGGAAAGAAGATTCGTATCAACCTGTCGTGTGCAGTGTTCATCACCGTGAATTACGGGTAAGCGTCAGCGCATGTGTCGCAGGCGTGGGCCCACCTCCTGAGGTCTAGCCATCGGGGGACCCTACATGGTCCGGCACCGAGTGGCTGCCATTCCAGGGTGCTTCCCAGCAATGGCGTTTCCCCTCCACGGGCAGCCAGGCGGCGAGGAAAGGGTCGGCAGTGTGGTGCAAAGCTGGGGAGAGGAGCAGAAGGAAGGAGAAGGCAGTGGTTGCCAGCGGTGGAGGCCGCAGGGTCGGTCAGTCTCTGCTCCTGGAAGGTGATGGTGATGGTGTGGGTGACTGTGGGAGGAGGCCCAGGGAGACATGAGCATAAAGGAGGAAGCTCTGTGAGATGGAAAGTCGGACAGGAACTACCTCCTAAGCTTGTTCTCCGATAAAGATCGCATAGATCGCCAGTGGGATTCTTGGGGGGAAGTTACATCATGTGGCGACGCGTGTGGAAACCCAAAAAGGGGTGTTTCATGCCCCTGTTTCTCTTGCCCTCTCAGGAACAAGGGACACGTGGGTCTCCCCAATACCTTAAAGTCCCTCTTCCGCCCGGTGGCCATGGTGGCGCCCCATTACGAAATGATCGCCGAGATCAGCCTGTTGGCGGTCGGCTTCCAGTCTGCAAAGTCGCTGTCCAGGAAGCTGGTGAACCTGTACGGACTGGCCAGCACGCAGCTCTCCCAGCAGGTAACGCACGCACGCTTTCCTCGCGGGAAGCTGATGAGGCAACGCTTGTCTGGTGGGGGTCCAGGGCGGGAGGGGGGGAGGGGGAGGGGGAGACCTGGGGACGGGGCGGCGCTAGAATTCCCGTCGGCACCTCGAGTCCACGCCCCAGCAGGGATGGGAGGCGGTGTGTCAGGTCGGCCAAGGTTCCAGACCTTCCCTCCCAGATCTGGGGAGAGTGACTGAGTGTCTGCTATTTTATTTTATTTCATTTCATTTATTATTTTTTAATTTTATTTATTTTTATTTTGTTACTTTATTTTAAATTTTGTTTATTTTTACTTTGTTATTTTATTTTTAATTTTGTTTATTTTTATTTTGTTATTTTATTTCATTTATATTTATATTTATTTATTCATTCATTCATTCCTCATCCAAGGTTATTTTTCCATTGATTTTTAGAGAGTGGAAGAGAGAGGGAAAGACAGAGAGAATTATCGATGTGAGATAAACACATTGATTGGCTGCCTCCCGCACACGCCCCGACCAGGGCTGGGGATCGAGCCTGTAACCGAGGCACCTGCCCTTGACCAGAACCGAACCCGGGACCCTTCAGTCGGCGGGCTAGCGCTCTATCCACTGAGGCACACCGGCCAGGGCTCAGTCCCATGTTTAGGACCTTGAATACTTGTGCACTGTCCTTTGAGAAGGAGACGTTTAGGAGCACCCGTTTGGGGGAGAAGCGAGAGCCTCAGAAGCAAAGTGGAGCTCACATCACCGTTTCTCTTCACAGCAGCGATGATCAGCCACTTAACTGTGTGCTCTTTGCATTCTTATTACCAACTTCTTTCATTTTCCTTCCAAAACTGCAATCATTCCAATATTTTCGTGTTTGATAGGATCATTATAATTTTGGCCTGAGGGCCCTGAAGACAATTATAATAATGGCAGGAAAGAAGCGGAAGCTTAAAAGGTCAGTTGCATTTGGAATTGTTAGGTCCCTGGGAATGACACAGCGCCGGGCAGATAACCGGGGTGGGACCATTCTCTACCGTAAAGCACGATCTTTTCCGGGAAAAGATGTGGAAAAGGGGTCAGGTTACTCCCTAGGACCCCAGCCGTGAAGCCTGGAACGCTGTCGCTCTCCTAGAGACGTTTAATATAATCGTTATGTTATTTTCCATCGGCTGTTCATTAGCCGGAATTCATTTCTGTTATTTGCAGCTACAAAAACACACACACACACACACACACACAAATAAACAAAAACAACAACAATCCTCTACGATTGTTGCAGCGCCCATCCCTGAATCGGTGACTGTGAATGACATGACCCTGACTTTGCCGAGAAGTCAGAGCCCATCCCTGGAGCTGGGACCAGATAAACCCCATGCCGACCGCAGAGCTGGTCGGCCGGCCGCGAGGGACAGGCGGGGAGGAGGTGGGGGCGGCCACCGCCCCACGGGGACTCGAATGGTCTTGCCCGACAGCAGCGCACGCTCGCTCACGCGTTCTTCCTGTTCGTTTTCTGTCCTTCAAGCAACACCGGCGACAGCCTCTCTGAAGCCGAGGAGACGCTGATCGTCATCGAAGCCGTGCGAGAAGCCAGTCTGCCCACCTGCACCGCCAGCGACGTCCTTTTTTTTGAGAACATCATCCGAGATACTTCCCCGAAGCCAC